CCCCAAAACCCCAAAACCCCAAAACCCCAAAACCCCTTGCTTAGTGTGATTAATTGCTACATAAATTATTTATTTAAGCATAAAAGATTCGATGAATTCTCAAGAGAACCACAGAATGATCTTCCCGATTGTTAAGGACTCATTGCTTAACAAAACTTTGCCTAATAACTCTATTGGCAAAGGACCACAAAGATTAGCCGAAAGCCTTGATTGTTGTAAAATTGTTCGAAAAGGAGATATGTATGATGTAAGTTCAGTGAAGAACTCTTTGAAAAGTTGTTGATTTCTAAGAATCTTTTCTCAAATTGTTAATCCTCATAAGAAATTTTCAGTAATTGTTCTTTTAGGCTCTACAGACATTTGAGAACGACTACCCTTGTAGGTATGAAGGAAGGATATCCTCTGGAACAAAATCTAAGCTAGCCATACTGATTTTTACAGGGACGGAGTTTAAAATAATCCCTATTCGTCGAGCACAAGAATACGTGAACTTCAAGCCAGTTGTCCAGGTAAGCCCCCATTCAGTCCTGGACTAATATCTGTAGGTTTCACGAGCTATTAAGAAGAAACTACTAAAACTAGAGACTCTCACTAAGGAAGAAAAACTTGAGCTAAAATTCAAGAATCAACCTAACAAGAACTCCTGAAACAAAGACTCAGATGATGAGGAGGAACCTGCTGAGGAAGAGGACCCCAAAGACCTCAAGATGACGCTTCAAGAAAAGCTTAAAGAGCAGGAACAACAGAGGATTCAGCAGGAAGAAATTGTAAGATTTTGTGAATCTTCACAAATTTCACTCAAAAATAATAACGATTAATTTTAGGAATACAGACGCCAAAGATATGACAAGGCGAGGAAAAGAATCGAGGAGCAAGACAATGAGCTAGACAACAACTTCGATGCCGAACACGACCTCTTCGCAGATGATGGCGAAGATGATAAGTTAAGACATGAAAAATCGGATAAGGAGAATGAATTTGAAGATGACCTCTCCCCAGCATTTCAGAAACAACAAGAATTACCAGTGGAGAGTAATACGAGTAAGGTCTTGGAATAATTGTTTAGATAGAGTAGCTGAAGAAGTCAAAAACATGGAGGAGATTATCCGTAAAGCAGACCAGATGGAAAGTGACAGTAGTAGCAGTGGCTCTGATATTGAAATGGACGATGAGAACAACAGAAGCATTCTTATAGAATCTGTTAAGTTATTTGTTGGTAAGACAAAGTTGCCGGTAAAGCAACCCGCAAAGAAAAAGAGTCAGGCATCTGAAAAAAAGAGCAAGCCCAGTCCTGTGTACACGGCAGATGCTGCTTTAGAAGACACATCGGCCTCTCCATCCCAGCAAAAAGAATCCCCCACTTCTCCAGACACCCAAGAGGCCTCTCCCAAGCCCAATGGCGGCCATGACCCTTCCTTCGGGGGTTTCGACGGTTACCTAAGTGGGGCTGAGGAGCCAGACACGAGCCACGGCTAATTTCTGTGTAAAAATCCACTCAAAACCTCAATAAATTTCATTTTTCTTTAACCTAAAAGGGGTTTTGGGGTTTTGGGGTTTTGGGGCG